AAGTTTGCTGAGGCTGGCTATCAACTTGTGATCCTCCTGCCTCGGCTTCCTAAACTGCTGGGATTACAGGTATACACCATCATGACACCTGTTTTTTTTTTTTCTTTTATTTTTAGAGGTCCCGCCCCCAGTACAAAACTTAAACATGAGTTTTGGTTTTCTCCCCCCTTGTACTGAGAAGGTTGAACCAAGGGATATGCTACCACTGAGCTGAATCCCAGCCCTTTTTATTTTTTATTTAGAATAGTGTCTTAATTGCTGAAGCTGGCCTGAATTTCTAATCTTCCTGCTTTAGCATCCTGAGTCTCTGGGATTACAGGCTTGCGCCACTGTGCTCAGTGCCAGTAACATTCTAACACTTCATACTTTTGTCTTCTGGGATCTTCTTGAAATTAAACTTCAAGTCACCTATTTTTTTAGGTATTTAAAATGAGCTAGAATGCAGAAAGTTCTCTTTGCATTTAACACTCCCCATACAAGCGTCTGTTTTGGGCTACCATTATCTTCATTTTTACCACCTTTTGTTAAATTTTAACTAGCTCTCTAATTCTTTTCCTTTAAGACAGTCTAATGTCTGGGTGATGTTCTTTTGGATTGCTGTTTATATCAGTTGTTCTTTTTTGGGAGAGTGAGGGGTTATATTGCACCCAGTGAGAAGTACACTGCAATTTATCTGTTCAGTTGTTAATGGACATTTTATTTGGTTTTAATCTGGTGCAATTATGAATAAAGCTGCTGTGGAGATTTCCACGCAAATGTTTGTGTGAGCATGTGGTTTCATTTCTCTTGGAAATTAGTCATATGGTATGAGTATGCTTAACTTTAAGAAACTGCAACTATTTTACAAACTATTTTCCAGCATTTATATTCCCACTAACAAAATAGAAACAGTCTGGTTGCTCTATCTTTGCTAGCATTTGCTGTTCTTAATTTTACTGATATTATGTTTAAGGTGATAATCTATCTACCTATCTACCTATTTTATTTTATCTATCTGTCTATTTATTTATGCGGTGCTGAGGATTGAACCCAGTGCCCCACATTTGCAAGGCAAGCACTCTACCACCAATCCACAACCCCATGTTTTCTTATAGAATTTTTAGTTTCAGGTTTGTACACATCTGGATGCACTTTGGAGTATTGCTTGTCCATGGTATGAAGTCAATGTGCGTTGGAGGGTCATTTCTTACATATATATGTTGTCTGTGTTGGTCTTGCTATTGACATGTATGTTTTATCCTTGTTCACAGTATCTGGCTTTCTTGAAATTGAGTAGGGTAAGGTCACCAACTTTATTCTAGTGCTTTTTTTTTTTTTTTTTTTTTTTTTGGTCATTCTGGCTATTCTAAGTCCTTACCATTTTCATTTAAAATTTTAAATCAGCTTGTAAATTTCTTCCTCCCAAGAAGCTTGCTAGAAGAATGGATGGCTTAAATAATTTATTTTTGCAATCCTTGAGTATGATACATGTCTGTCCATTTCTTTCTTTCTTTCTTTGTGGTGCTGGGGATTGAGCCCAGCGCCTTGTCCATGGGAGGCAAGCACTCTAATAAGTGCTGCCTTCAAAGTTGGGATCCTGCTTCAGCCTCCCAGGTTGTTGGAATTATAGGCATTTGCCACCATGCCTGGCAGAATAATCATACTTTATATCTTGACTATCTTGTTAATTTTAGGTATGTTGGATGTGATGCTACCATATGGCCCTATTGAAAAACTGTTATTTTAATTATTTTGGCCTGGGTCATTTTATGCTGTTGAAGAATAAGTGCTTGATCAGTTTTTTTTTAATACTTATTTTTTAGTTGTAGTTGGACACAATACCTTTATTTATTTTTATGTGGTGCTGAGGATTGAACTCGGGGCCTCACACATGCGAGGCGAGTGCTCTACTGCTGAGCCACAACCCCAGCCCACTTTATCAGTTTTTTTTTGTTGTTTGTTTGTTTGTTTTTCTGTTGCACAGGATTAAATCCAGGACCGTGCGCATACTAAGCATGAGTTCTACCAATAAACTATGCCACCACCCATTAAATTTTCTTATAGAGCCTTTTGTTGTTTTACTAGAACTGGGATGTTTATTTCCGTGTAGGACTTGTGTTAACTGTGACTTAACCATGTGTGCATGTGCTTCCTTTGCTTTGCAGATGGCACAGCAAAAAGGAGAATGTGATTTTATTTTTCATTTACATTGTGTACTAAGCATGATGCCATGGCTTAATTATTCCTTTGCAGGGAGACTAAAGATTTTTGTCCCTTTTTGTCCTTTGTGTCCTTTGCTTGCCTCAGAGAACTCTTCATCTGTGATCTTCCAAAACAGGTTGCAGATAATAAAATCTGTTGCCCTGCCTAGTCACAAGTTCTGCCAGTTCCAGCCAGCTGAGACTTGTGTGAAAACCCAGCACCTAGTCATGCCATCATGGCTCACCAGTAGAAGCTTGTTCTGTCTGGAGCAGGCTGAGGCTCTCTGTTGGGGTTCTAAGAAATGAATGCCTGATGCTGAAAGTTGACTCATCCTTATTTTCATTCTCTATCTCTCAATCTCTAAGGAACAGAGAGGTAATTACTACTCTTCTTCACATGATACTAAACAACAACCACTTGGGGGGCTGGGGATGTGGCCCAAGTGGTTGCACACTCGCCTATCATGCGTGTGACACTGGGTTCGATTCTTAGCACCACATTGAAATAAAATGAAGATATTGTGTTCACCTAAAACTAAAAACTAAATATTTTATTAAAAAAACAACCAGTTGTCTTTCCTGCTATTTTTTTAGGATGGAAAATGAATGAGAAAATTGGTCATTTAAGAGTATTTGGAGTTTTTGTCAGACAACAGGGAATGTTGATCTTATTGTGTTCAAACTTCATTGGTTTGATATCCTCGTTACCATATTCAAATAATTTTTCTTTTAATTAAGGATAATTTCATAAAGATGGGAGGTATTTAAGTCATTAAGAGGGAATTGCTCTGAGCTGAATGGATGAGTTAATCAGTGAATGTTCCAGGTAATGTAAACTCTAGAACTGAATTTTAGTTCACACAGCTATTTTGGGGGAGTACATTGCTACCACCCTCTTCTTCCTTTAAATAGCAAAATCTGAAAAATATGCAAAATTTGGTTTGTGTTGGTTTTTTTCTAGGGTTGAGAGTATATGGTTTTATTTCCTACAGAGGGTTAAGAGCCAGGAGTGGAAAGGAGCCTTTGGTGTCAGTTTACTCTGTCCAGTACATTTACCTTCAAAAGTCCCCCTCCCCCATCTTTAAGTAGATTTATATGAGAAGGTTTATCTGTACAAGATCTGAATTATCTTGCATTGTGAGCCCTCAGTACCATTTGGTTAAGGTGTTATGGAGATGCCTCAAGACAAACATAGTGTAATTGAAACTATAATAGAGCTGTAGGAAAACCTGTAAAGCATGCAATTCTTGAGTCAGGTAGGGGCTTCCAGACAGATTGATGGCACAGAGAACCACACTGTTCAGATATATTGTGGGACTGGCTGGCTTGTGCTTCCTAACCATACATGGCAATAAGGGTTACAGATGTAACTATCATAGTTGTAAGTCGATATGGGTATGACTCTTTTTAAAATTTAATGATAACTGATAGGGCCTCATTCCTCTTTACTCCTTAGGAAGAAACAAAGTTACACATCAGCCAAGTGTGACAGACTGTAATCCTAGCTGCTGGGGAGGCTGAGGCAGGAGGGTCTCCATTTCAAAGCCAGTTTCAGCAATTTAAGCCCTAAACAATGCAGCAAAACTCTGTCTGTAAATACAATATTTAAAAAGGGCTGGGGTCCTTCTGAGGCCCTGGCCCTAGTATCTGGGCATTCCAAGGAATGCCCCTTCAACATATTCAAAGCAGCCTCAGACTAATTTCAGTGGTATGGAGATGCCTTGAGAGAACTTAGAACACCGCATAAAAATAAATAAAAGATACTGTGTGTTCATCTATAAATAAATAAAAATTTTTTTTTTTAATTAAGCATTTGAGGGGCTGGGGACGTGGCTCAAGTGGTAGCACACTTGCCTAGCATGAGTGAGGCACTGGATTTGATTCTCAGCACCACATAAAGATATTGTGTCCACCTAAAAAAATAAATATTAAAAAAATTAAGCATTTGAGGGGCTGAGATTGTGGGTCAGCTTTAGAGCGCTTGTCTAGCACGTGCGACTGGCTTCGATCCTCAGCACCACATAAAAATAAATAAACAAAATAAAGGTATTGTCTCCAAGTACTTCTAAAAAATAAATGTTTAAAAAATTAAGCATTTGAGCTGGAGTTGGGGCTCAGTGGTCAAGTGCTCGTGTAACACACATGAGGCATTGGGTTCAATCCTGAGCACGTGAAATAAAGATATTGTGTGTCTACCTACAACTAAAAAGTAAATATATTTGTTTTTAGAAGTTAAGTACTCCCGTTGTCCCAGCTACTCAGGAAGTTGAAGCCAGGAATTTGAGGCCTGCCTGGTCAACAAAGGGAGACCTCATCTCTTAAAAGAGAGAGGGAGAATATAATATAGTTGCATATTAGAGTAGCTCCTCATGTTCTGCCATAAGCCAGTTTCAAGTTTTGGTGTCTTAACCTTAAATAGTAGGGCAGACTCTGGGATTATTTTTTGTGCCAATCTGTGGGATGGATCCAACTTTGAACTAAATAATTTTCATAGAGTCTCTTTAATTACATGAGCAAAGTATGAGACTGTCCTCCACTTCACATTTATATCTTTGATAATATAAAACTTTTAACTATTTGACCAGAATGTGTTGTCTGGTTTAAAGGAAAACAACTTAATCTGTGAAAAACTCTCTCAATGTTTTTATCTTCTTTTAAATTTGACTAAACTTGTAGAGGGTCTAGTACATATAGCTTCATTGAGGTCCTCATAATTCCTTTCATAGACTTATCAGCTATCAAACTCACCTCTCTCTTCCTGTTTCTACCCATCATCTGGTTTATATTAATGCATTTTCATGTCTGGGGCTGTTTGGTTAGGCCTCAGACATTCCACAGCTACCTGGAGGACATCATCAACTACCGATGGGAACTCGAAGAAGGGAAACCTAATCCTCTGAGAGAAGCCAGTTTCCAGGACTTGCCTCTTCGCACCCGTGTGGAGATCCTGCACCGGCTCTGTGATTATCGGCTAGATGCAGATGATGTCTTTGACCTCCTCAAGGTGCTTCACTGGCAGTCCTTCTCTAGAGCAATTAGAAACAGCAGTGAGGAATTTAGTCAGAACATGAAACTAAAGATAATACAAGATGCCAGAGTTTGGCTTGGGTGGCTTGTCTGTATGCTCTTAATTGACAGTGACACTGTGAACACAACCATGACCCTGTAGCCAAAGGAACAGAAGCTGCGTTATCTATATGGCAGTATGTTGTTTTGATTTAATTTCTAGTTGGGTTTTGTGCTTCTTTCCATGCACTTTATCCCAGCTGAGTCAGGACCAAAAAGAGGCACTTTTTCATACTGTAACTAATTTGACCACTGAATTTTATTTCCCAAGGTCTAAATTTGAGCATAATTAAAATACCTATTGAAAACTCTGGAACTTGAAACTAGATATGGTAGTGAAGTTTATCCCCTATACACACACCAGCTTTGAGGATGGACTCATAAGAATCATCATGTAGGGCTGGGGTTATGGCTCAGTGGTAGAAGGCTCACTAGCATGTGCAAGGCCTGGGGTTCCATCCTCAGCACCACATAAAAATAAATAAAATAAAGGTATTGTGTCCAACTACAATTAAAATAATAATTATTATTTTTTAAAAAAAAAAAAGAATCATCATGTAATCCAGTGCACTCTTTGCTAAGGACCTCAGCAGTTCTGGGAAGGCCAGTATGGATCAGGCACAGCGATAAGTGGGGAAGGGGTGGCTGTGGGTAATGATAGAGCTATGGTACAGTATCACACAAGACAAAACTTTTGAAACATCTTTAACACTACTTAGTTGTAAAATAAGAAAATAACACCTTTAAACCAAATTAAAAAAACATTCACCAGAACTATTTTTTTAATTATATATGCATTACAATTCATAATACATACAGAACACAATTTTTTTATATCTCTTGTTGTGTACAAAGTATATTCACACCAATTTGTGTCTTCATATGACCATCACAACTTCTCCTCCAACCCCTCTGCCCTATCTAGAGTTTTATTCCTCCCATGATCCCCCTCCCTATCCCACTATGAATCAGCCTCCTTATATCAGAGAAAATATTTGGCATTTGGTTTTTGAGACTAGCTAACTTCAGTTAGCATTATCTTCCCTAACTCCATCCATTTACCCGCAAATGCCATGATTTTATTCTCTTATTGCTGAGTAATATAGAAAGCCTACATCTTGGGAGCAAATCTTTACCCCTCACACATCAGATAGAGCACTGTTCTCTAGTGTATATAAAGAACTCAAAAAAAACCCAAATAACACAATAAAGGGTCCAAGGACCTGAACACACACTTATCAGAAGATGATATACGATCAATCAACAAATATGAGAAAATGTTCATCATCACTAGCAATTAGACTCCAGTCAGATTGGCAGCCATTATGAAGACAAACAACAATAAGTGTTGGCGAGGATGTGTGGGAAAAGGCAAACCCATACACTGCTGGTGGGTCTGCAAATTGGTGCAGCCAATATGGAAAGCATTATGGAGATTCCTTGGAAAGCTGGGAATGGAACCACCAGTTGACCCAACTATCCCTCTCCTCCATCTATACCCCAAGGACTTAAAAACAGCATACTACAGTAACACAGCCATATTAATGTTTTATAGCAGCACAATAGCTAAACTGTGGAACCAACCTAGATGCCCTTCAGCAGGATAGCTTTTTTTTGGTGAAATGGGAGCAGTGGTGAGAGTAGGGAACATTTGAAATATTTCCAAATCTTGTTCTTCAAAGAAGGTAGTCCCTTCCCATTCTGTCTCTCTTTCATCTGTCTTGATCAAAAAATAAATATGATACTTGGTTATTTTAAAATACGAGGCTAAGTTTGAATTTTGAATCACTTTAGTTTTTTCCTATTTTTATTTTATTCATTTTCCCAAACTCCCAATTCCTTTTGGGTCTAGGGTCTGGATGCAGACAGTCTCCGTGTGGAACCTCTGGGGGAAGATAATTCTGGGGCCCTCTATTGGTATTTTTATGGAACACGAATGTACAAAGAGGACCCAGTACAAGGGAAGTCCAATGGCGAACTCTCCTTGAGCAGGTACAATCTTTAATGTCAGGGTGTGACGGCTACAATGTAATTCATTAAAATTAAGTGCATCAGAATCCTACATCAGTACATCGCTGCTTTTTTTTCCTTTTTCTCTTTTGAAGGAATTAATTGTATTAGCATGCCTATAAGGAAATGGACAAGAAAAGGAGTCTTACCATACAAAAATTAAAATGAGGGTTTTGGATATAACTCGGTGGCAGAGAGCCTGCCTAGCATTTGCAAGGCCCTGAGTGTGATGCAAAAATAAATACATGCATAAATAAATTAAAAGGAATTACTCCATAGCCTCTTCCACAAGGCTATGGTGATTTCTAAGGAGTACCACTACCTTACTACAGACTATTTTAATACAGCACAGTTATGCGTGTAACAGTTTCATCTTTCATAGGCATGCCTCAAGAACTCCATTTTCTATTAGAATTGATATTCTGCTTTTTGACTGTTAGGAGCCATCAGCCTAACTCCAGAGAACTTTAAATGATGGCCTGAAATGTAAGCTTTACTGAGTACTTCCTAAATAAGAGACCTCTTCGCCACAGCATTCCTGAACAATGCTTGCCTGTAATTTTATTTAGACTTCCTTGTTGGTAGGAGCAATGCTTACTGTTGGGAAGGTGTAGAGCTTACATAGTGCAAAATGTCAGTTTTCCTTGGTTCCACTGTTTAATAATAATGGAAGACATTTTACCCTCCCCATTCCTTGTGTGTGTTACATTTAATCCTTTTTGGTAACCTCGTGACCAGAAATACTATAATTAGTTATATTAGAATTACGTGTGACCATACTGTTTCTTAGGGAAAGTGAAGGACAAAAAAATGTCTCAAGTGTTCCTGGAAAAACAGGAAAAAGAAGAGGAAGGCCCCCCAAAAGGAAGAAACTACAGGAGGAGATTATTGCAAGGTGAGAAAGTCTTGTTATTCTCTGGTCACATGCCTTCATGCTAGGAGGATCCTTCATTTCATTTGTTTCTTCATCTTTTGTTTTTGCCTCTGGGAGGTCATGGGACTTTGGTTGTGGAGACCCAAGGTCAGAGTTCTTGTTGAGTGTACATTAAGGAACCAGGAAGCCCTGGCTGCATGATCTCTACAAAGTTACCTACCTTCCCTAAGCCTGTTATTTTATTGGATTATGATTATCCATTTAATGAGGATTAAATTGAACACAACAGTTCATGCCAGTGTAATAAACTGAAAATCATGCTTGACCCATAGTAAAGGTGTTTTGCTTTTTTTTTAAACTTTCATTTTTTTAGTTGTTGATGGACCTTTTATTTATTTATTTTTTTATTTATATGTGGTGCTGAGAATTGCACCAGTGCTAGGCAAGCATTCTACAATTAGCCCCATAGTAAAGATTTGATAAACATTTGTTATACCAAACATTTAAGAATTTATTGAACCACACGTTTTATACAGAAAGATAGAGCAAATTAATTTTGTTAACTAATCAGCATGTTAGTAGAATTACCTATCATATCTGAGGTCAAGGGTTAATTATTTCTCAGCAGAGAACTTAGCCTTTTACATCCCCAGACATACTTTATTTTATGTAGAATGCAATTTCCTACAATAAAGAAAAGGTGAAAATCTAAAGTATTTTCTTAATTTTAGCAAAGGAAAAGGCATCCTCTTGTATTGAAAATAATTTCTTTTGTGTGTCATTATCTTTTAGGAAAGACTACCATATGAATCTTGATATGAGTATATTTCAGAATCTGACCCAATCTGACCTATACTATATAAATATACTTTTCACTTAAGAATCAGGTCTATCATTATAAAGCAATGGAAGTGTGGCTCGTTCCTAAAATTTCTGTTAACAGAATAAGCAGTTTCTTCCTAGTAAGTTTATAAACTGTAAGTACTTATCTAAATGCTTGGATTAAGCCTTTTTCACTGATTTTTTTTTTAACCACAAAAACACATTCCTAAAAAATCAGATTATGTAGATCCATCAGAATTTGATTTTGTTAACTCAATCAGCATTCCGCTTAATTTTCCCTGATTTGACTAGATGGTAACTACCTGTTTCCTCCTTATCAGTGTTTGTGAGAAATGTCATTCATTTGTGTTATATATGCAACATCTGTTTCTGGATTCTACATGGTCCACATGTTCTTTTATGTTCAAGAAAATGTTTTATGTAACTCCATTTCCCTGTGAGTGCACAATTAAAGTACCTTGCTGTTGGGATTATAGTGTCATTTTAAGAAGCACACATGGACGTGTGCTACCCTCTACTGGTAGTTTTATACCTTTAGAGCTATGTATCTGAGACTATTTAAACATTTTTTAAATAAATGAAAATTGAAATTTATAAGTGTTCAGTAACCTGTGGCTTGTGGCTCTCATATCAGACAACCCTTGATGGAAACTTTTTCATTTCCCACAGTTGTATTTAAGAGTGTACTACTTTAAATGTTTGAAAAATAACCAAAAAAAAAAAAATCCAGCTTTTTTGTTGTTTGTTTGTTTGTTTCAGGGTAATAATTGACAAATGACAATGACATTTAACACTGTTGTTCATTTTGAAATTTAATCTCTGACATCCTTTGAGGTAGGAACTATTAATGGCCCTATTTTACAGGAAAGTTTAACTTTCCTGAGGTCACATGGTTTGAAAGAAGCATGTTTCACTGATTTGAAAGATGCAGTTCAACTTCAGATCCCATGTTCTTAGCCTCTACCTTACATAAGAGCAAATTAAAAACACCTATTCTCAGTATAGCCCTGCATTAGGGAAAAGGACAATGGAATCCCTAGGTTTTTTGCTTGACTTTTAATAATTAACACTTAACCCATCTGTCTTATTTTCTAAAAATTGTTATTTTTCTGTACGATGATGTTATTGCCATAACATTGGTACCCAAATGAACTTACGGTTTTTAGCAACATGCCTACATCCTAGTCCGTTTATTCTGTAGAACCATTCTTGAATCTACAAACACACAGTCTTTCTCTTTGTGTTATGTTAATTGGGTCTTTTTGTTGTTGTTTTTTTTTTTAAACATTTTTTAACTTTATTTGTTTGTTTATTTATTTATTTTTATGTGGTGCTGAGGATCAAACCCAGGACCTTGCACGTGCAAGGCGAGCGCTGTACCAATGAGCCATAACCCCCGCCCCATGTTGTTCTTTTTAAATATATATGATGGTAGAGTCTATTTTGACATTATACATACATGGAGTATAACTTCCCATTTTTATGATTATACATGATGTGGGGTTACAGTGGTCATGTATTCATATATGAACATAGGAGAGTTATATCCAAATTATTTCTACTGTCTTTCCTATTCTAAGGGAAGCACTGTGTAAATTTGAATTTGTTTTTCTTTTAATTGCTGCCACCTTCTTGTGTTACAGTGAAAAGCAGGAAGAAAACTCCCTGGTGTCTGAGTCACAGACCAGAAATGGTAATAATCTTTGTTGGCATTTAGAAAAGATCAAGTCAACATGATTCATGTATATTATGATGGTGACTGTCTTTTTCCAAAGTCATTGAAAGCAATTAAAATGATTGCAATAGTCTTAAAACTAGCCTCCCTCCCATTCTTCAATTCTTTTTTCCTCACACCTGTCCCATACCCATCTCTCCATCTGACAGCTTAATATCAAGACAAGGTATGTTAACTCAGACATTTTAGTGAATCATAGTATCTTGGCGAACTGTCCCATTAACATCAGCACTTTATGTGTGCCATATGGGTTTTCTATCTGATTTTCATCCTGTAATCCAAATGGCATATTTTAGGGGAAAGTAATCAAGTATTTTACAGTATCACAATATAAATGGGTCTAGGCATAAATTTCTGCAAAGGCACTCTCCCTCAAACTATTTTTCTGGGAAAGTATATAAATCCATTCAAGCTTTTCTAGGATGTTAATATCTTATTAAAGTCACAATAGTTATATTTGTATTGCCTCTAGTCTTTTATTGGTAAACAGTGACAGCAATAGGAAAATCAAAAGTATACATTTCTTATCTTGTTTTAGTCATGACCTAGGTTAGAAATAATCCTGAGAATAAATACAGAAAAAAGTGTCCATGTTAGGATATCTTATAGTGAATCATGCCTTTCTTTTGTAGGATGTCAAGGTCCAGGCCAAGGCACTTGGTGGCTCCTGTGCCAAACAGAAGAGGAGTGGAGACAAGTCACCGAGAGTTTTCGAGAGAGGACCTCCCTTCGAGAGCGGCAGCTCTATAAGCTTCTCAGTGAGGACTTCCTGCCTGAGATCTGCAACATGATCGCCCAGAAGGTATGTAGAGACACTGAGGGTTCAGTGCCATCAGACCGCTTGTTTGATGCTATGATGTTAATTTGAACTTTTGAATGCACTATCCTTGAAGTATTACAGAACGTCAGTTCAGACAGGATGACATGGGATCTTGTATCACCCAATTCTGCTTCCAGAGTGGGTCACATATTCTCCTTTTCCCCCAAGAATTCCTCTGTGATCAACACTCACCAGTACTTAAATAGCTTTTCACAGACTAGAACCAGCTTTCTTTCTATAATGTTTCTCAGGACGTGCGCCCCGAGCCTGCCATGTAGACCTCTGTATAATGATTATTTGGATTTTGTTGTTATTAGTTTCTGCTTTGGGGGACTGGGGCTTTAACCCAGAGACAATTTATCACTGAATCACATTCCCACTTCTTTTTATTTTTTCTTTTGAGACAGGGTTTCACTAAATTGCTGAGACTGGCTTTGAAATTGTGATCCTCTTGTCTCAGCCTACCAAGCCACTGGTATTACAGATGTGCCCTACTGTGCCTGGATTTTGTAAAAATTTTTTTCCTCTAAAAAAACAAAAGTCACCATATTATGGATCTCTTTCATTTAATAACAGACTTTGATGAGCGTATATCTTGATGGCTTCAGTGCCAGCTCCTAGACCTAGCCACCTGAGCTATGTGTGCCCTTTTCTCCAACTTCAGGGCAAGTTATAATTTTATAAATTATTTATACGTATTTCCATGCATGCATACCCTAATTCATGACATTTTCAAACAACTTCTTCCCCAGCACACATACCTCTTTTTTTTTTTAAACCCCTTTGAATACTATTCTCTAAACTCCATCTTCAAATTAACTATATCCATAAACTGTCTGTTTCTCCCAGCCTTAGGATTTTCTTTCTTTCTTTTTTTTTTTTTTCTCATGCTTTCATTGTGAGTTTAAGCTTCTTCAGCTCAGGGACCTCCCCTGCCTTTTTATTTTTTTTTAAACCTCTGAAGTGCCTGATTAAATGCGGTTTGTTGTATGTTGCTGTACCAAGATTGAGCACAGTGGTGCTATGCCACAAAATTATATTCCGAACCCCTTTTATTTCTAAATAGGATCTTGCTCAGTTGCCAAAACTGTCCTTGAATTTGTAATCCTGCTGCCTTAGCCTCCTGAGTTTCTGGGATTACAGCCCCTGCTCTTGACCTTGAATGTGATTTCTACAGTGAATGATTGACAGTCATTCTATTATTGCATTTCAATAATGTAATATTTTTTATTATTAATATATGCTAATAGAAAACCAAAAATCTTAGAGCGTCTACCAATGAAATCTGAAGAGAAAAAAAAATATAAATTATTGCGGCACCTAAAGGGAAAAGCAAAATATCAAATACATTACTAAATTTGTTCTGGATTCAGTGATGCATGTAACCTTTAAGAGGTTAACCCTTTTTTAAAAAAATATTTAGTTTTTTAGAAGTTGTTGGACACAATACCTTTATTTTATTTATTTATTTTTATGTGGTGCTGAGGATTGAACCCAGGGTCACATGCTAGACAATATACCACTGAGCCCCCAGATGAATCCTTCTAGCATTCTAGCAAGAACTTATAAACAGTGAGTTATTGAAGACTTAACTTGATGATATCAAGAATATTTGCACTTAACATCAGTGTGCTTAATTCCATATGAGAGCATTTCATTCAGTTTTTGTGATCTTCAACCTACTGTGACAAATTTTCTAGAAAAATTATATATACTCTTTTTCTTAAAATAACTAAGATGGTTTTGTGGCTTTGTATCATCTTGTATGTGACTTGATCTAAAGGGCCTGTGGTGGCACAATAAACCATGTATAAATCATATAACTAATTAGCTTATTATATCTGCTTTTTCAACTATATTATGCAGAGATTTTGGTAGATAATAGAATTAATGGGCAAAATTTAAAAGTATAAAACGGATGCTTTTGTTAAAAACATTTCCTGAGTTGATTCTTTTCAAGATAAAGAAATTAAGATACATCTCAATGTAATTTTTAAGAACCATGAAAATAGAAACTATAAGATTTGATATTTTGAAAGATATACAGTACTTTCAATTTTAAAACAGTGTTAGCCAGAAAAAAAGAGAATCTAAATTATGAAGTAGAAAATTTTAGCAGACAATTAGAGAAATGGTTTCACAACAGGATCTCAAGAAAACTTCCAAAATCAGGCTGGGGGTGTAGCTCAGTTGTAGAACCCTTAGTTGGCATGCTCCCGGTCCTGTGCAAGTTCAGCAAAACAAAGATAAAACCGGAATTAATTGGATTTATGCGCAATTATTTTAACTTTAGAAGATTTGAAATTTTCTAAACCTTCAAAGAATAATTTCCAAACATTTCAGAAATGAGGTACCAGGGATGTAGCTCAATGGTAGAGCACTTGACTAGCATGCATGAGAGAGGCCTTGGCTCCACTTTCTAGGAAAGGATAAGGGAAAAAATGTGAAGGTGCCCTTGTTAATTTAGAAAGGTATCTTATATTCCCATTCCCGATTAAATTAAACACTCTTCTCATTCAATAATCTATATTTCTGTAATACTGACGAATAAAAGCTACCTCCTAGCCAAAAATCAGAGGTAAACCTGAGAGTGTAATACTGGCAATAACATTTTGGATGGCTTGCCCGGTATAATATAGCAAAAAAGGGTACAAAGATACAAAGTTTTTGAATGTTTGCCTGGAGACAATAAATCTAATAAAATGTCTGTTAACTAGAATTTCTTAACAGTGCTGGAAAACACACTGTTTGCATCAGAATCATTGGACGTGTTTACCAAAAATTCTCATTCCTACCTCTGCTCTGTTCCTAACCCTTGTCAGAGTTATTCCAAGTAGTACCTGTTATTTTTGCAGTTGTAGAATTTCACCAGGTGATTATTGTGTATACTTAAATTTAAAATTCTCTGGAAAAAACACCCATTATAGTAGCAATGAAACAAATTTGTCAGAGTTGTACATTGTCTTATAAGGAAAATAAGCTTGCAAATTAATTGGTAGATATATTATCTGTTTGTGGGAGGAAAGAATAAAATAGAGCATAATATTCACCTGGATAAATTAAAAATTATTGTAATCTCTTCCAAATCCCAACACAGTAAAAATTTCCTCCAAAACAACAGGTGAATGTAAATAGTGTGAAGTAGGTATATTGGATATTAGCACAGGAATCAGCATATCAGAAGCATTTTTGAAGCCTTAAGCCTTCACTTAAGGCTCATCTAGTGTAAATGATTTGCTCAAAGTTATAGATAGTTATCAACTCTTAGTAATCTTTGTTATAATTGGCATTCAGCAGTTGAGTTACATGTTCAATAGTTGTAGCATTTTTATGAGCCTGTTTGTTCCTGTTGTACTTGTTATTGTAGTTAAACATTTGAGAATTTATGAAACCAATAAAATGTGGCAATAAAATTTCTGTAAAAAGTTTGTATTGGGTTGGGTATATAAGTTCAGTGTTAACACTATTTGTCTAGCATGTGTAAGGCCATGGGTTCAATCCCTAGAACTGCAAAAAAGGATTAAAAAGATATTTAAAACAAGTTGCTTGGGTTGGGGATATAGCTTAGTGGTAGAGCACTTGCCTAGCATGCACGAGGCCCTGGATTCCATCTCTGGTTCCACTACCACAAAAAAAAAGAGGTGGTACTAAAATGTTGGCTATCCACGTGGGTAAAATTGTAAAAGATCGTAGAAGAGTACTTAAAATCATAAGGATTCTTATCTTTGGTTTTCAAGTATTCTTAAAGTCTTACTTTAAAACTGAAAGACCAGATGAAGATTTTAGAGCATGTTTATGTGAACAAATCACAAGGGATTCCTCTTGGTGAGTCTCAGTATCTTACAATTGGTGAATGGCAGTATGTTTGTAAATTAAGTGCTTAAAGTATGTACATTTTTAAAATTTCCTGCTTTTTTAATATTTATTTTTTAGTTGTAGTTGGAGACAATACCTTTATTTTATTCATTTATTTTTATGTGGTGCTGAGGATCGAACCCAAAGCCTTGCACATACGAGGTGAGCGCTCTAACGCTGAGCCACAACCCCAGCCCAATTCCCTGCTTTATATGTTAACCTATCATTACTCACTGTAATTGCAATAATCAAGAGGAATTTTGTTCTAACAATGAAGAAATACTCGTGATTCAAATGTGAAAATTTAAACATAGATTGGCAGAAAAGAATGCAGTTCTCACAATTATACACTATTGCATATTAAAACATGGTATGTTGCCAGGGATGGCCCATACCTGTAATCCTAACTACCTGGGAGTGTGAGGCAGGTAACAGATAGCAAGACTGGGGATGTAGCTCGGTGGAGCTAGCACCCCTGGATTCAATCCCCAACACTGCAAAACAAAAGCAATGCAAAAAACCAACAGTATATAAATGAAGCACAAAAACTTGAGCAGTGGAGAAAGCTTATTAGGGTAAGAACTTTAGGAGTTTTTCTTGAACTATATTTGAATTATGGTATTGCCGTCTTTATACCTGAGGTGTCTGAATTTCAGTTTCAGTTTAATCTTATTAGCAAAATGAAATGCTGTAACTTCACAGAAGCTTTTGTGGAAATTAAAAGAACCCATGTCAGTATATATAGCAATCAATAGGTTTTTGGTCCCCTTCCACTGTTAATGATGATGGGTAATTGATGAGAAAGATTGTTAGGAAACTAAACCCACATTTCTTAACAAAGTCAATGCAAGAGGAGTCAGAAAACTTGATGGATTTCTGGAGGTATGATGGTAAACTTTAAGAAAAACAGAAGGTTAAGGCCTGCTTTAACCACATAAGAGTTTTTTTGTTTTCTTAAAATGGGATGTACACTACTGAAATTATTTGTTTATGATACAAAAAGTAACATTCATAAAGATAGCTTATAAACGTTAAAGTCCTTAAGAAATAAATAGATTTAGGTAGTTTACACAAAAGGTGATTTTTAAAAAAAAAAACATTTTTTTTTAAAGATGGACACAATACCTTTATTTTTATGTGCTGCTGCAGATTGAACCTAGTACCTCACACATGCTAAGTGAGCACTTTACCACTGAGCCACAAGCCCAGCCCAGCCCCAGCCCCCACAAAAGGTGATCTTAATGTAGAGAAAAAACATTCACCATCTGTATTAAGAATAGCTTGTTTTTCCAGTTACTTTCATTGGAGGTGACAAAGTTGGAGTGAAAACGGTATTGGCTTTTTTTTTTTTTTTTTTTTTTTTTTTGCTATTAACATGGTAAATTGGTGTGGTTCCTTTTGAAGACAGTTTCTGAACATTTATTATTTATTTAAAGTTTAGAAGATCTTCCTAGCACATGTCTGTAATCCTAGCAGCTGGGGAGGCTGAGGCAGGAGGATAGTAAGTTCAAAGCCAGCCTCAGCAACTTAGTGAAGCCCTAAGCAACTTAGACCTTGTCTCAAAGTATAAAGGATTGGGCTGTAGCCCAGTGGTAAAGCACCCCTGGGTTCATTCTCTGGGACTACCGTAAAAACAAACAAACAAAAAACACTTCCTGTTAGAGCCTTGAAACTTACAAAGGGGATACTTTAGGCATATGAGAAAAATGCTAGAGTAGCTTTTGGAAAAAAGTGTCATGACACCTTGATACTTGGGATCACATTTGTACTGGAGCCTATTCATTCTCTTCATGGAAGCCTTTCAAAAACTGATGATTCAAAAAAAAAAAAAAAAAAAACTGATGATTCATTAAATCTACCACCATTACTTTACAATGTGGTTAAACCATATAAACCACTCCTTATTGTCATTGAGTTTTTTCCATCTTTTGATTCCTTATGTCTTCTTGATTCTTCAGGAAGTCTCAAGACTTTGGATTACTGGGGTCCAGAATCAAATCTGAGTTTGATGCTGTAGCCACAGAAGTTGCAGTGACTGACCTGAAAGCCCTGCTTACCACCTTTTAATAATAGGTTACAAGGTGAAGCTATGGGGCTTATTCCATAAAGTTCCAAAACATACATACGTTAATACACCGTGGCCTTCCAATGATTGACTAGATGTACATCGTTCCTGGAAACTCATTCTTTGAAATGTTCCTCCTTCAGCATTCACTGTCAGTCCTTCTGAATTTTTTTAGGTCTGTAATATTTTCAGATGAGCTCTCTAATTCCAAGTCTCTGTGCCTTTTTCTCACTCCTACTCACTCACTTTGGGTCCCAGCCTGGGCAGCTGCCCTCACTTCTCACTACTGCTACTGACCTGCCTTTTAAAGGGGTATTCTGCCTCCAGCTGCACATACAGTCGGCTCTCAGAGCCACTTCTTACAGCTGAAGGTTATAAGACATTGGCTTCCCCTTAACCATTTGGGGATTATTTAGTTTTAAAATTGTATTTAGGTTTTTAAATGTTTTAACAGTCAATGGGAATTTTTTTGCCAGTGATATTATCAAAGGAGACACTTGTTTGTTTTAAGAGCATACACTGGCTTAGTTTGCTGAACAGCTGAAGAGTTCTTTTGTGATTATCCTAAGCGTGGATACTTTTAACCCTCCATCAAGGTAAAGCAGTTACCAGCATACCTTTATGGTCACTCTTTGGCAGTAGTGAGCAGCGGCGGCAGCAGCAGCAGTAGCTGAGAATACCCTAATCTATCTTTTCATTTATTTTCCATACTTCTTAACTATAGGGAAAACGTTCACAGCGCACAAAGGCAGAGTTGCAACCTAGGTGGATGTCTGACCACCTGTCCATCAAAGCCATGAAGCAAGAGGTGAGTGAGAGTAAAAAGGGAGTTTTTAGTGTTCAGAAAGAATGGTGCCGTTTTCGTGTACTTCTTTTTATGCCGTTTTTCTAATTCTAAACCTAGTTTTTGTAAGATGCAATTCCAGAAAGAAGGAGCTGTAAAGATAAGGAAGTCACATTCTTTTGGATCTTAAAATCTCATTTGTTGATAGTCACATCCATATTTTATATAGATGAGAAAGATAAGTTCTATAGTAGATATAAGATATTCATGAATGCAAAGGTGGAAGAAATTAGAATTAAGCAAAAATGGAGAATTTGGTAGGCAGGGCTGTGTTTGGCCTGACAAAAAGACCTTTGAGGGAACAACTAACGAGTTACTACTTCAAGGGTTTTCCACTTGAAACATCCAGGAGCCAACCAAGTTTGAGTGTTTTCATTTTGTGATGTAGTTTAGAGTAAGTAGTTAAATGACTCTAGCATCACACTGTAGAAAGGAACAGATAATGTTTTTATTCATTCAGATTTTTAGAGAACAATTTAGAAAGGCATAAGAAACTTTTCTGGTTGGTATGGCTTTAAGTGATCAGAAAGGCAAATAGAGTCAAATAAAGAAGCTAGGAGATGAAGGCAGCAAGGTGAAGCTGTTTCAAAGTCAATACCAAGATAGGAAGGATAGTAGAATGAAACTATATGTGTTTACGTGACTGCATGACCAACATGTACACTCAGAAAAATGAGAAATTATATCCCATCTATGCATGATACATCAGAGTTCATAAATGCATTCTACTGTCAGGCATAACTAATTAAAACAAATTTAAAAAATTTTTTAAACAATCATTAGCAGGAACCTTGCTGTCCCATCTCAAGATCTGCCTGCATTGTTTGCTAATGTGAGTTTGCTACAGTCCACAGTAGGTGCTGTGGCCTGCTCACATTCTCTTTACTTTGTAACCATTTATTCTCCCTTTGTCAGTGTTCCCTTGCATACTTAAGTTTTACAGTAGGATTCAGTTCTTTTACTCTCTACCTTACCTTGCTATACACATAATATGATTTTTTTTCCCTTGCTGTATTACAGAGAATCTATCATTAACTATATATATTATACCTTGAGCTGAGAAAAGGGAAAAACTGATAATTTGTAAATTTTTTATTGACTTCTCTTTGCTCTTAGGTGTCCTCTTGCCAGGAGATCAGTGGATCAACATCCATCTAATTACCTCTGGGTGACAGTTCTGTACTGAGTGGCTTCATTTTCCCTTTCTTCTTTCTCTCAGGAGTCACTGGTTTGGCAATGGCCTTTGGTAGTTGGTATCTAGCTGCAATTTTCAGTGGGTTTCCAGGTCATCTTGCTCATCCACACTATTTCCACTCCTTTTATTAATATTTCTTGCAAGTTCCTTTCTGTTTGCCTTTCAATGCTCTGCAGTCCTCCATGCCCTGGTTCACACTTCAGATTATCTATAATCTGAATACCACTGATGCTTCTTCATGGCTGCAAGCAGAAGTTCAGCATCAGGCACCAATATTTCTTTTATTCTTGGCAGGGTTTGTTTTTATATTCTGCTCTTTAGTTTGAGATAACAGAAAACCACAGCATTATAGAGATTTTTTAATATCTGTCTGATATGGGCCATTAATGTGGAGAACACCTTAATGGTGGTGTGTTTTGTGCTTTTGTTTTTAGAGCAGAAAATATTCAGGCCTTTCAAGCATGCAGGCATTGGTCACCCAGGAGTCTAATCTTATTGCCTCAAAAAGTCCTTTAATTGTGACTCCTGGGGAAACTATCGGTGAAGGGCCACTGTCTCACTGAACCCCAGGATTAGGCTGCTGCCATGGGTGTTTTTGCCAGCAGGCTCTGGACCTTGTTGTTGCCAGGGAGCTGTTTGTGGTGGTATAGTCTCTAGGGTGCCCGTGAGTCTTAAGTGCCTGCCTTGGGGGAGGGGAGCCAGGGCACTGCTTAAACCAGAGATTCTGGTTAATAATCCTTCAGAGGATTTCAAAGTAGTGTTTCTAATTAGCTTCTCATTAAGATGCCCCCTTGATTCTAGTAGGCCTCTTATCTATAGAACATTTAAACACCAACCCCTATCCCATTCACAGCTGACCTCTGTTTTGAAAAGAAAATCCCAGTGCAAGACAATATGGTTGTTTTTTCCCCACTGTTTAGTTTTTTGGTTTGGTTTTTGCTCATTTTATTGTACTGGTGTCCTCAGAAAGTGAGTCCTATCCTGTCCTCCAGTGGTGTTTTCATTAGCATAAGTTTTGCTTTTAAGTGGCAGAGTGCTAAAAATTAATACAGAAATTTGAAAGCAGACTCTTGGTACACAACATGGATTTTTTTTTCAGATGTGTATGATGTCTTTTATGTAAAATGTTGGGAAACTGCTAGAATTGTAACATTATGTTAAAAAGAAAAGGGCACAAGAAATGTGAGGCAGAGGGAGGTATTCAGTCAAGCAGAGGGGTTTTTCACCTGACACGATAATGCTGGGTGGGGTGAACTCTACAGAAAGTGATATGAGAACAGGTAGATTAAACAATAGAGGTAGGGGTCAACACTGTAAGGCAGGGGGCCACAGATGTACAAAGGCAGGGGCACTTAACCACTGAGCCCCATCACCATTTCTTTTTATTTTTTATTCTGAGACAGGGTCTTGCTAAGTTGCTTAGGACCTCTGCCTCCAGGCTCATTGGGATGGGGCCACTATGCCCGCCAGCTTTAGGTTTTTGACCTCACCTTGAAATGACATTCAGGGAGCTTTAAGTTTGTTTTTTAAAGAGGCTGTAATTCAGATTACTCAGTTATTATAGCATGTGTGTTTAGCACATATATTTTTAAAAATAAATAACCAGACACATACTGTGTAGTCATATTTATGTGAAATATCCAGAAATAAAGAAATCTACAGAGACATAAAGCTGGTTGATGGTTGCCAGGCACTATGGGAGAGGAATGGGAAATGGCTACTTAATGGGTTTAAAAGTGGTTAATTTTGCTTGTGAATTTCACCCCAGTAAGAAAAGAAATAACCAGATGAAGGTAATCTTTACATAATTTTTTTGTTAATGATCCATAACCATGACTTTGATTTAAGAGCAGCAATCTCTGGGGAATATGGGAAGGGAGGGGTAATGGGGAGAGAGTGATAAGTGGGCAATGAGTCACAGTTAAGAGGGCAGGGAGTTCTGGTGTGCTCTTGCACAGTAGGGTGACTGCAAGTAGGAATTTTATGCCATGTGTATGAAAAAGCTCAAGGAAAGAATTTTGAATCCTACCATAAGGAAGTGATGAATGTTTGACGAGATAGATTAATTTAACTTGATTATACTCTATATATGTTTTAAAATATCACATAATAATCTCTTTACAATTTTTGTGCTTTTATGGATCAGTTAAAAACAAATTTAGGGTTTTTTTGGGGCAATAAATATTGCAGAATTTCATTCAGAGGAAAATTACAGTTTAATAAAAGGAGAAGAAAACATTATTCAGTAGTTATGAGTGTTATTTTCCTAACGCTTCATCAAATTTCTCCCTGAAGATTAAAATTTATCTATGATCTTTCATTTGTATATGACTTAAGATAAGCATTGCTTCTTTGACCTGGTACCCATAGCCTACAAGAATCAGAACTCTACCCCCAAGGTTGAATCCTGAGTTCAGACAGGTCTGTTCCTCACTGAACTGATGAAAGCTGATGATTGGCAGGTGCACTGTACTTGCAACTTTGCCCTTATCCTGGGGCTTAGGATCCAGCTCAGTGGTAGAACACTTGCCTTGCCTAGCCTAGCATGTGTAAGGCCCTGTGTTCCATTCCAGCCCCCAAGTGCCCCAAAATCTTTTTATATACGTCTAATGGTTAAAAGAAGAATATTGGGGGGGGGGGATATAGTTCAGTTGATAGAGTGCTTGCCTCACATGCACAAGGCCCTGGGTTCAATCCCCAGCACCACTTAAAAAAAAAAAAGAAAGAAAAGAATATTTCACATATTTTCATCAGTAGTCTTGCGGGGGAAGGGCAAAGTATGCATAAATTAACGTATGGTCATTATAGATACTTTTTTTTTTTTACTTAGTAACTCTGGGTTAATATGTTCTCAGCTGTGTGAAAATGTTATCAAGAGTTGGAATATATAAGGATTTGGGAAAAGGGGGAGGTGGAGATTGTTGTTGGAAAGGATGGAATCTGCTTCACTGACATGTATTTAGGAGGCAGTGATGTAACCAATCATCTGTTTAAAAGAATTGTCCTTGGGCTGGATTGTGGCTCAGTGGTAGAGTGCTTTCTTAGCATGAGTGAGGCATTTTGGTTCAAAAGAAAAAGTCCTTGCCAAATATCAGTAGTATGATTTCAGAATTATCGTCAATTTCACCTCTGGTGTGGGATAATGATGATTTGGGAGGCTTATGGTTGTTATTTATTTCTACTGAGGTTCCTTATGAGCACACTGTTATGTGTGTGATTCAGATTTAATTTAACTTCTCCTGTTCGTTCCCAATTTTTTCCTTAAAGGCAGGCTCAAATATTTTGAGTGATAAAAATGATGCTTAGAAGTCCACTACCTAGACAGCATAACCCCCAAATTGAGTCAAATTGGGATCTAAAGTGGTTTTAAGAACCATAAACAAAATATATTGTTTAAAAATAGTTTCATTGTTGAATGGTAACTTGTACATCGTCATTCTGATTTCTTTATTCCCACCACATCAAGACCACTGCAATTTGTATTCTCTGTAGCAGGCAGTAGGCATGACTTCTTCAATAGCATTACTGAAAAAAGAAAAATGTTTAGCTTTTACATTAGCAAAAAAGTTGAGAAAAGAAATGGAAAATAAACATCAGTGTTCTAGCCTATAGAATGGTTCAGAACTAGTTTTACTGGGAAATATACATTGTAAAACTTTCATAAAATTATTAGTGGTAGTGGTCCTGTTTTCCTTAGTTTACCTTTTCTTTTGTTAGATTTCTTAGGTAATCACATTCCCATTGGCCACTTGCAATCTTTATGTTAATGTTGCTTAGGTTGGAAAACATGCTAGCCAGTCCTTTGAATAATTTTCAGGAATATCTGCATAAAGCCCCTTTGTCTCTTTTTGGAATCATAACGCAAAACAGCAACCCTCTTCACCTCCACCTTCCAAATTTTTCATATGAAGCTGGGTGTGGTGAGTCACCCCTGTAATCACAGCAACTCAGGAGGCTTGAAGCAGTGGATCATGAGCTCAAAGCTAACTTCAGCAACTCAGCAAGGCCCTAAGCAGCTTAGTGAGAACCTGTCTCAAAAATAAAACAGAAAAACATCTGGGGATGTGGCTCAGTGGTTAAGTGCCCCTGGGTTTGTTTATTCTCTGATTTAAAAAAAAAAAAAAATCATGAATCATTTAAATTGTGAACCCGTACTTTGTCTAATAACTTTCATCCTTAGTATACTTAGCTGAAGATGCTTTTAAAAATTGCACTTTCATGGGGCTGGTTTGTGGCTCAGCAGTAGAGTGTTCGCCTAGCACATGCGAAGCCCTGGGTTCTATCCTCAGCACCACATAAAAACAAACAAAGGTATTGTGTACAACTACAACTAAAATAAATATTTTTTAAAATTGCACTTTCATCAAATAATAAACCTAGAGGAATGTCTCTCAATTTTTTTCTCTTGTCCATCACATTGTGTATGACATTATTTCCTAAAGACTACAAATCATATAATTGTTTGAACCCATGCTTGAGTCTTAAATTACTTTACTGAGACTAGCTTTGAACATGTGATCTACCTACCTCAGCCTCTGAAGTAGCATGTGCCCTTGAGCCCAGCCCCCACCATTTTAGTGTGTTTATATGCCCATTCATATACCTTATAGATAATATAATAAACTTTTAAATGAATTTGATATAAATTCCTTAGCTAATATTACACATCTATTTGTATTTATTGAATTCAATAAATTGAGGAAGTGATGAACTTCTTTGTGTTATTGTTCAAAATTTACTGGATATGTTCATTGGCTCCTCACAGGAGACTCCTGTGCTCACCAGAATTGAAAAACAGAAGCGCAAGGACGAAGAGGAAGAACGGCAGATTCTCCTTGCAGTGCAGAAAAAGGAACAGGAGCAGATGTTGAAAGAGGAAAGGAAGCGGGAATTGGAGGAGAAGGTCAAGGCAGTGGAAGGTATGTAGCCCTTGTGAGCTGTCTGGAGAGGTTCCTGTGTGGGAATAGCCCTCCTACAGCCTAGATCAGATGAAGGTGGGATCGATCAGATCATCACTTATTTCAGCTATTTCTGGCCATTTCTGTTTAAATAGGTCAATTGTATTCTGTTGTGTTTACATTTCACATATCTAATTCATAATATGAGTGAGATATGCTTAAGAAAGGTTCCAAATATTTTTATTCAAGTCTAGAATATTAATATTATTAAGAAAATGTTTTCTAAGAGTCTCTACAGGGCATGGTGTAATGAGTGTTTTCTTTCATTTATAGTTCAGCATAGCAAAGGAAAACAACTATCTCTCTATGTTTTCTTGGATAATAGTTGTGATTTATAAGCTGAACCTGATAAATCATGTGATAATATACCATTTGGCTTGATTGAATACAGACAGCATTTTTCTTTTCTATTGTAGTTTCAAATGAAATAGCATAGCATATGGATTTGACTTTTTCGATAACAGTGTTTCAATGAAAACAGGTCAATTTTGTCTATGAAAAGTAAAATATAAGTTTTTTCCTTTTTTTTTGTACTGGGGATTGAACTCAGGGACACTCAACCTAGTTCATTGCTTTATTGTAAAACCCATAGTTTGTGTAATCAATAAATTTAGCTTGTTTACATATTATGTAATTATATCTTACTTGTGAGATCTTGAATATATTTTGTTTCCACTGCTAGATTTTATTTTTTCAAGTTAATAATTATGCTTTTTGTTTAATTATGTGTTTCAGTGGGACTCTTGTTTTTTCAGTAGATTCTTATTTAGGTACACAATTGTGGTTTAGTTTCTGTATCTGAAAAATTAATAATACCTGTGTAATGAGATTGTTCTTTAACAAACAAATGTTTTTTGAGAACTCATTCTGTGTGGCACTGTTGTAGGTATATGGTAATGAATGAAATAAGATATTGTAGAGTTTCAGTTCCAGTAGGGAAAAGGTGGAAAATAAAACAGATAACTGTGGCTGGGTGCAGTGTTGCATACCTGTAATTCCAGTAATTCAGGAGGCAGAGGCAAAAGATCTCAAGATCAAAGCCAGCCAGCAGCTTAGCTAGGCTCTAAGCAACTTAGCGAGACCCTGTCTCGAAAAAGGGGTGATGATGTGGCTCAGTGGTTAAGCACCCCTGGGTTCAATCTGGAAACACGCCCCTACACATACACATAAACTGGAATATGTAGTGGTGAGCTATCTGAATAAAAATAAACCAGATCTATGAATAAAGAGTGCTATGATTGAAGTAACATTTAAATAAGATTATCATGAGTATTCTCTGAAGATGTGTCATTGAAGTCAAGTGAATGAGGTTGCTCTGTGCATTTCTGAGGTGGGGATGTGGGATGGGGAACGTCATAGGCGTCAGAAAGAGTGAGCACATACGCTCATTTGACTATTCCTTGTAGATCGAGCCAAGAGGAGAAAACTCAGGGAAGAAAGGGCATGGCTGCTGGCTCAAGGCAAGGAGCTACCCCCAGAACTTTCCCATCTGGACCCTAATTCTCCCATGAGGGAAGGAAAAAAGACAAAGGACCCGTAAGTATTTAATAATCACATCGGTGATGTCACTTGGCACTGCACTTTGCTAATAAGCAAGCCCTCCTTTCATTTAACTGAGCTGTATAGTAGGCAATGGCATCACCATTTCAAAGTTCAGAAAAAACAGTAAGAAACAGAGGTCAGCCTGAAACTCAGACCTGACTTCAGCACTCCTTGTGCCACACAAATGGAGATGCTGAATGTCTCTTAATGCTCATTTGCCCTTCTTAGATTTTTTGCTGTCATACTCTAGAAGCACAGAGATGCTTGTGCACAAAACTCTTAGTACCCCACTCATTAACTTAATGAAATCATAACTGATGATTTATTATATACCATTGTTTCTTGAAAATGTGAAAAGAAGTTTGTAGTTTTGAGAATAATAGCTTCTGGGCTGATGTTGTGGCTCAGTAGTAGAGTGCTTGCCTAGTATGCATGAGATACTGGATTTGATCCCTAGTACCACATAAAAGTAAAATAAAGGTACTTATTCCATCTACAACTTAAAATATATAGATTTTTTTAAAAAGTAACTTCCTTTGTAGTTATCCTAGATACTGGTGTTGAGACTATTCAAGATCTTAGTGCATTTAGCTATGCCTATTGTTAAACTGAAGATAGGTTGACAAGGTAGTCAGAATGAATACTAATGTCTTATTTTATGATTTACAGCTTTGAGTTGGATGATGACTTCACTGCCATGTATAAAGGTTAGTTCCCATTCTCAACTATAGTGTTTGTGGTGGAAGTCTTGCTGTGAGTTATTAGTCAAGTTTTCTTCTTTGGTTTTCAGTTCTAGATGTGGTAAAGGCTCATAAGGATTCCTGGCCATTTTTGGAACCCGTGGATGAATCTTATGCTCCTAATTATTATCAGATTATAAAGGTAGCCTCTGTGTCTTGCTTGTACTTTATTGTTTGTTTGCCTAGCTGTCATTCTTAAGATCAGGGTTGTTGGAGATACACCAGGCTCTTGAACAACTTGTAATGCCATTATTCTTTTGCCTTGTAGGGACAGTAGCATGTTGTTGTTTATTCCTGTAATATGTTGTTGTTGATTATAATAGAGTTCCTTGTTCTATTTTAGATCCCTATGGATATTTCAAGCATGGAGAAGAAATTGAATGGAGGTTTGTACTGTACCAAGGATGAATTTGTAAATGACATGAAGACAATGTTCAGGAATTGTCGAAAATATAATGGGGAGAATAGTGGTAAGTGGGTAAGAAATCTGTGCCAAGTGCATATCTGTTATGCCATTATATAATAAGATTTAAAAACTCCTTCTTTCCTAAAAGCTGTGGCTACTACAAGCATTTCCACTATATGTGTCAGTAGCTCTCTTTCCTCCCATAGGACAGCAGAGCTCAGCAGGAGAGTAGATGGCCTTGGGTTGTTTCTCATTCTAGAGACTAGTCTAGATTTACCTGGTTCTCTTCAGCACAGATGGGGCTGAACCTAGATAGAGCCCATTGTTTTTTCAGGGGTTGTGGGGGTGGGGGATAGCACTGGGGTTAGAACCTGTGCATGTGGTCCTCTTACATGTTAGACACATACTCTAACCAATGAGCTACACCCCAGCTTGTCATTTTTAAGTCATTTTGAGAAGTCAGCATAGTACCTATTTAATACTAAAGAATAAATGGCTCCAGGTACTCAAACTGGGTTATTGATGAATTGAAGAATGCCAGAGTTTTTTTAAAAAAGATTCAGTGATTGTATTTAATGAGTTGAGTAATTTAGCTTTAAAAATTAAATTTTCAATGGTTTGAGGTAATTAGCCATACAACTTTGAGCTTTTTATGGGTAGAAGCCATCTCTTACTCATCTTCTGGTCATAGCTCTACAGAATATGTCCCCAAAATGAGTTGGAACAAATTATTGCAGTTTTTATTGTTAGTGGAAGAATTATCTTTTTTTTTTTTTTTGATGTAATTTTTTTTGTTTTTTAGTTTTCGATGGACACAACATCTTTATTTTATTTGTATGTGGTGCTGAGGATTGAACCCAGTGCCTCGCGCATGCCAGGCAAGCGCGCTACCACTTGAGCCACATCCCCACCCCAAGAATTATCTTTTGTGACCTATAAAATCTATACGTGGTAGTTAGTCCTCGTCTGTTCCTTATAGAGTATACCAAGATGTCTGATAATTTAGAGAGATGTTTTCATCGGGCAATGATGAAACATTTTCCTGGAGAAGATGGAGACACGGATGAAGAATTTTGGATCCGAGAGGATGAAAAGCGGGAGAAGAGACGGAGTCGGTCTGGTCGTAATAGTGGAAGCCATATTTGGACCCGCTCTAGGGACTCTGAAGGGCCCAGCAGGAAGCAGCAGCCCATGGAAAATGGAGGAAAATCATTGCCCCCTGCACGCCGAGCTTCTTCTTCAGGGGATGATCAGAGCAGCAGTTCTACTCAGCCCCCTCGAGAAGTGGGCACTTCAAATGGCCGAGGTTTTTCCCGCCCTCTGCACTATGGTGGGATGCCCAGCCAGGCACCTCTTTTAAACCAAATGGTAAGGAAGAGCTAAACTTTTCGATGATTTCTCCAAGCTAGTGAACTCATGGGAAAGTAAGGGCTTTCGCACTTCTTACAAAGTAATTATATGGATGATCTCCCCCGCCCTGCCCCATTGAATTTCTTTCAAATCCTCTTCTCTTTTAGTCATTTGAATCACATATTCTCAGTGTGGGCAAAAACAGATTTTAAAAAGACTAGGCATAGTGGTATATGCCTGTTTCCCCAGCTACTAGGAGGCTGAAGCAAGAGGATTGTTTGAACCCAGGAGTTCAAGACCAGCCTGGGCAACATAGGAAGACTTCATGGAAGAGACAGAAGGATGGAGGGAGAAAGGTTATTCAGTGTATCTGAGATGTTAAAATCTTATGACAGGGTGCAATGGGGGATGAAATGGGTAAAAAGGCTCTGTACAGGGGCAAAAAGGATGTAATTTTAAAAGATGGTAAAATAACGTTTTGTTTTTGTTTTGTGGCACTGAGGATTGCACTTGGGGGCACTCTACCTCTAAGCTATATCCCCAGTTTTGAAACAGGGTCTTACCAAGTTATCCCAGCTGCCCTCAATCTTGTGATCCTCCTGCCTCAACTTCCCAAGTAACTGACATTAATAGGCATGAATACCTAGCAAGAGACACCATTTTAATTTTACTCTGTTGAAGAGGGAACCTGCTTTAGGGTCAGGAGCTAGTTCACTCTAGGGGAGTATATACACTAGCAAACTTTAGGGAACTCCTCGCTCTGTGTCTAATGTCCTTGTCTATTTTTTTCTTCCCTCCCTTTGCTCACTGCCTCCAGAGGCCAGCAGTACCAGGAGCATTTGGCCCTCTTCAAGGATCAGAGCCCAACACCTTCTATGGTCCCTCTCGAGTCCCAGAGGCACACCCAGGAGAGCCCATGCAGCAGCATCAGCCCTTTACCATGCAGGTAAGGAGTCACCTCAGAAACCATAGCTGCTATGGGTCCCACAGCATGTTTCAGAAATAGTGTCTTCTCAGGTTAAATTTAATTAATTATCTTCTGTGCAGAAGAGACTGTCTCTATAGGTGAAGCGTGTTACAAGGGACTGGTTAACTTTGCTCACTTTATTTTTTCTGTTGCCAGCCTCCAGTTGGAATTAGTAACCACCGAGGACCCCAGCTTGGCACTCCAGAAGATAAGCAGATATGTGGGGGGCTAACACACCTTTCTAACATGGGATCACATCCTGCATCCTTGCAGCTTGGACAGATGAGTGGCCCTAGTCAGGATGGAAACATGTATCCCCCAGCTTCATTCCAGCCAGGATTTATTCCTCCCAGGCATGGTGGAGCTCCAACCCGACCAGCAGACTTTGCTGAGAGTTCAGAAATTCCTCCCAGTCACATGTATCGATCCTACAAGTACCTGAATCGTGTACACTCTGCCGTCTGGAATGGGAACCATGGTACTACAAATCCAGGACCTTTGGGGCCAGATGAGAAGCCCCATCTCGGGCCAGGACCCACTCACCAGCCTCACACTCTTGGTCACATGATGGATTCCCGAGTAATGAGACCATCTATACCCCAAAACCAGTGGACTAAGCAATCAAGCTTTCTACCTCATGGCGTTCCTTCTTCAGGATATATGCGACCACCTTGTAAGTCCACTGGTCATAGGTTGCAGCCACCTCCAACCCCAGCACCAAGTTCTCTATTTGGAGGGCCCTCCCAGGCCCTGCGTGGGATGCAAGGAGGGGACTCTATGATGGACAGCCCTGAGATGATCGCCATGCAGCAGCTGTCCTCCCGTGTCTGCCCACCAGGTGTGCCTTACAACCCCTGTCAACCCACTCCCTCCCAAGTACCTGGCCCTTTTCCACAGGCAGCTCATTCAGCATCAGTAAGCTTGTCAGCCCCCAAACCTGCCTTGGGCAACCCTGGGAGGATACAGGATAATGATGAAACACAAAAGCCTGAGAATGACCAAGGTAATGTATATATTGTTACTTTTATCTGACTTTTGGGTTTTTAAGTTGTATGTAAATTATGAGTAATCTTTTCACACAATATGAAACCATATGTACACACATTTCTAGTCTCTTTCCTGAGCTACTTAAGTTTGAACCAATCATAGTATTCCTTTTGGTCTGAAGATCTCGGCATGATAATAATGATCATCACACTTATAGGTGCTTCCTGTGTGACATTCTTTTTGAGACTTTGGTTTGAAATCATTTAATTCTCAGAAATAAGCCTTTGTAATATCTACTATTAATATCCTTATTTTTATAGATGGAAAATTTAATTCACAGAAATACTAGATTATTTGCTGTCTTAAGTGATAAAGAAAGATTTGAACCCTGACAAGGCTAGATAAACATTCTTCCTGTTAACCACTCCATCTCTTACATCTTTCAAAAAAACTATCTGGAAAGTCACCATTATGAAATAAGTTTCAGTGTCTAATCATTTCTATCCTCTCCTTAGATACATGCCTGTGTGTAGTAAAAATGAAGCACAGTGAGTTCTAGCAAAGCTTGAAACAGTTTCTTTGAAATGCCATTTAAGAGAAGTAAAGAGTAAACTAAAGAAGAAAAGTTAAAAAGAATTCTTTGTGTACTTAATGCTGACTTCAAGGATAGAAGTGAAGTATACATTTTTGTAATTTTCTTCTGATGTGAATAGAGGGTGGAGATACTTGAACATTCATAAAAGCTGGTGAAAAGTTCATGGGACTCAAACTTAACTTTGAGCATTTCCTTCTAGAAAAGGTCCACTTTGTGAATAGCTACAGACGAATTTTCTAATATGGGTTTCAGGTGTGTCTGCAAGTCAAAGGTTTGAAATAGTATCATTCGTGACACTTTAGATAAAGTCTGTCCACTAGTTGCTGAGCTTTGTGTTAATAAAAAGTTTAATTTTTTAATTTTGTTGCTCAGTTTGTATCTTTTTTCCTTAAGGCCAGCTTTAGTTCACTGATAGCCTTAGACATCTTACTGGTTCTTTATAAGTCATTATGGGGCTGGGAATATAGCTCAGTTGGTAGAGTGCTTGCCTTGCATACATAAGGCCCTGGCTTCAGTCCCCAGCACCCACCCCACTCCCTCCCCAATACAGACACAGTCATTATGAGATGGGTGCAGTGACACAGGCCTGTAATCCCCGAAGCTCAGGAAGTTGAGACAGGAGCATCACAAATTCAGTGCCAGCCTCAGCAATGGCAAGGTGCTAAGCAACTCAGACCCTTTCTCTAAATAAAGATAAGTAAAATAGGGCTGGGGATGTGGCTCAGTGGTTGAGTGCCCCTGAGTTCAATCCTTAGTACAAATCAAAAAAAAAAAAAAAAACATTATGAATCTTTAATCTTGTCCTTTATAAGTTTGTTTTTTAGAATCAGATTTTGATCTTGCTTGGACAACAACTCTTTCCTAGAAATATTATGATCAGATGTGTGTGTGTGTGTGTGTGTGTGTGTGTGTGTGTGTGTGTGTGTATAAAAACAAAGTACCTCTGTTATTCATCATGTTAATGGTTTGCTACCATAGTGAGGTGAACAATTTGATTGAATTTATTCAATTTCTCTAATGTTCAAAGAATGCCTTTCGAGTTTTTTGATATGGGCCTCTTGTTTCAAGACTTCAAAAAAAGGGATAGGGTTGTTGCTCAGAGTGTGCTCAGCATGCTCCACCTTTTGTTTGAGCACTGGGTATCTCATGCATTGGACCTTTACATTGTGTCAATTTCTAGAGCCTCTCACCTGGGTACCCATTCTAATTAAGTTCACATACATCTGCCTGGAGTCTTTAAGCTCCATATTCTCTCAGTAATGTGCCTGTGACGTGGGGTATTCCATTTTGGTGTATACCTTAATATTAGATTCTACCGGTAAGTCCATGAAAGGGAACATATAGATCCCCGATATCCTGACCTTTTCCAAGGACTAATGCTAGCTAGCTGAGGCTTGAATTGCTGTCCTCACCTCAACCCTGATCTTCCTTATGTTGCATACTTTTTATTACTACCTCCATTCGGATTGTCATTGCAGCTATTTAGTTATTTTGTTCTCCTTTTTGTTTTTTCCCCCAGGAGAAGCTTTGCCTGGACTTGAAGAGAAACCAGCAAGTGTTGGTGCTTCAGAGGAGGTATACCTCAAACAGCTACCTCAACCTACACCTCCCCTGCAGGCCGACTGCACCAGGCAGAGCTCACCAAGAGAAAGGGAAACAGAGGCCACAGAGCTCAAAAATGACACATTGGAATCTGCAGACAACTGTAAAACAGCAAAGGGCAAGAATACCTGGCCCTCAGACAGCAGCTATGCCAGCCCAGCTGCCCAAGGCTGTATGAGAGACCTCTCCACAATGGCCGACAGAGGGGTTCTTCCTGAAAATGGAGTCATTGGTGAAGCATCTCCTTGTGGATCAGAGGGGAAGGGCCTTGGTGGCAATGGTTCAGAAAAACCACTCTGTCCCAGAGGCAAAACATTGCAGGAGACCATGCCCTGCACAGGACAGAATGCAACTACACCTCCATGTGCAGACCCCAGTTTGATGACAAGCCCTGTAAGCCAGTTTTCTCCCTTGTACATGCCTGGCCTGGAATACTCTAATTCAGCTGCACATTACCACATCAATCCAAGCCTGCAAGCCTTGGGCCCTATGATGGGAGGGAAATCCTCGGTATCACATCCTCAGCATTTCTCTCCCAGGGCCTTTCAGTCTAACAATCCTCACCCTGGGATCTTTCCCCGATATCGCCCTCCCCAGGGAATGAGGTATTCCTACCAACAACCACCTCCACAGCCTTCCTACCATCATTACCAGCGAACTCCTTATTACACTTGTCCACAGGGCTTTTCTGATTGGCAGAGACCCCTCCACCCTCAGGGAAGCCCAGGTGGCCCCCCAGCAAGTCATGCCCCTCACCCACGGCCCCTTTTCTCAGATAAAAATTCCATGGCTAATCTGCCAAGCTGTGAGACACTGAGTGCTGCCTTAACTTCCCCAACTCGAATGGATGCAGTGGCTGCTAAAGTTGTCCCACCTGACAGACAGAATCCTGGTCCAGAGGAAGAAAAGCTTGATGAATCTATGGAGAGGCCTGAGAGTCCCAAAGAGTTTTTAGATCTGGACAACCATAATGCAGCTACCAAGCTACAGAGTTCTTTGTCAGCCAATGAATATATTTATGGAACTCCTCCTACACATCTGAGTTCAGGGATGGGATTTGGTTCACCTCCTTTCCCACCTCATGGTGTGATGCTACAAACGGGGCCTTCTTATACACCACAGAGGCCAACCAGTCATTTTCAACCCAGGTCATATTCTCCTGTGGGTGCTCACCCACCCCACCATCCAGGGGCTGCCCAGCCTAATGGCCTCTCTCAAGAGGGTTCTCTCTATCGCTGCCAGGAAGAGGGCCTGGGCCACTTTCAAGCAGTAATGATGGAACAGATTGGCACTGGAAGTGGAATAAGAGGATCCTTCCAGGAAATGTACAGACCATCAGGGTAAGAATGTGTTGAATGTTTTTCTTATTCTCTAAAAGAATAACAAATGTTAAACTATGCCTGTCAGAGGATGTCGAGCATGTGTGATGTTAATGTTAAAGTTCCAGGTCTATCCAGAATTGAAACAAGTCAGATACTCTCTCCTAAGACTTCCTCAATATATCTGTATGGGTACCACTTTTAAGACCCATTGAGGGCTGGGGATGTAGCTCAGTAATAGAGAGTTGCCTACTATTTGTGAAGTCTTTGGTTTAAACCCCAACAGGAGTTGCAGGTCGGCTCAGTGAGGTAATATGCCATCTGGGAACGTTTCAAAATAATGATATATAAAATATGGGCACTTGAAGTTATGAAGTATAGTTATTAAACTAGTACCTTTCAACTTAAAAACCAGTGTGCCCCTCTCCCCAATCCAACCAAGGTTTATGTATCTATGTTTGATTTTTTAATATATCACGATCATGCTGTCTTTGTTTTGTTTTTCAAAGAGTCCAGGCCTTGTGTAGTGTGTCCCAGATTCTGGATTCAAGTCAGTATTTCCTTTTTTAAGATTAATCACATAGCCGGTGTGTGAAGAAGTCTACAAAGAGGGATATCATGTTAAATAATGTAGACCTTAGAAATTTTTTCCTTGGATCCTGGTGCATATACCTGTAATCCTAGTGGCTCAGGAGACTGAGGCAGGAGGATCACAAGTTCAAAGCCAGCCTTAGCAATGCTGAGGCACTAAGCAACTCAGTGAGACCCTGTCTCTAAATAAAATACAAAATAGGGCTGGGATGTGGCTTAGTGGCCAAGTGCCCCTGAGTTCAATCCCTGGTACCAAAAAAAAAAAAAAAAAAAAGGATGAATCACTTTTGTCAGGAATATGCTTCAGATGGGTGTACTTCCTATTATGTTATGCTCAGATATATATAATGTCATTTTGTCCCATTATTGTTGGTTCCAAGCTGGATCACCTGGATAATTAGGCCATCCCTTCATGATTAAAGTATGTTTTCCTTTGTAATTAATACATCTTCATTAATTTTTACCTGTTCTTTTCCTGTGGCTACAGAATGCACATACATCCAATCCAGTCGCAGTCCTCATTCCCAAAGACCCCAGCACCAGCAGCATCACCAGAACAGCTGCCACCACATAAGCCCCCAACACTTCCTCTGGATCAGGTAAGAATCACCAAAATTTAGAGCTTTTCTTATTCCTCAAAATGTGGGAAATATATATGACTTTCATATCCCTTCTGCAAAATGCTTGGGACCCAAAGTCCCAAGTTCAGAGTTTTTCAGATTTTGGAATATTTGCATAGGGTTTACCATGCAAGTTAAGCATGACTAATCCAAGGTGCTCCAAAATATAAAACTTTCAGAATTATGTCCATTTTCTTCTTAATTTCAACCTGGGCATATAGCTCAGTGATAGCGCTTGCTTATCATGTGCAAAGTTTGGGTTTGCTCCCTAGCACACACTGCAAAAACAAAACAAAAACTTTGGAGCTTAGAGCCTTTCATATTAAGGATCCTCAATCTGCACATGGTCTCATTGCCATTCTTAGACTGTGTTTTTAAAAATTATTTCCTTTTTGCCATGTTGATAATAGAACCCAGGGCCACCCACAGTTAGAAAAGCATTCTAACACTGATTTGTATTCCAAGTTCCTGAGTGTTGTGTTGTTTTTTTTTGTTGTTTGTTTTGTTTTGTTTTTTTGATACCAAGGATTGAACCCAGGGGTCTTCATGAGTTGCTTAGGGTGTTGTGAAGTAGCTAATAAGGCTGGCTCGAGGCAATCCTCCTGCTTTAGCCTCCCAAGCTGTTAGAATTACAGGCATGTGCCACCACACCCCGCTCCTGTGAAAATATTTTAATGTGTCTTGTTGCTTCATTTACTATAGGCAGCCAGGTGAAACAAATCACTCAGGCCCTGATCCCAGTCCTTGGCATTGGGGAAGATCAGCAACAGAGTCCTCAGATGTTGCTTATCTACTATTTCCACATACCCCTCTTTCATAATCTTGTGTGGTAACCAGCTGTTTAAGGAGTATTTATTTAAGGAGTATCAATTTTTCCACACTGCCTTCCCACATTTCTTTTGCCAAAAATTGCTTGTTTGTTTAATCCTTCCCACCTATTCCTTTGTGTGAGACTGGTCAGTCAGGTTTGGAATAATTGTGGCTACCTTTGAGTGCTGCTTCTCTCTCACACACTGCTGAGAGTTTGTGCAAAAACTATCTCAATCTTAATCTGTGGCCCCATAAAGAAACTGAGCAGCTGTAGTAGCACCTTCTAATATGCACAAAGTTCTATAGCTTCTAAGTACAGGGGCTCAGGTCCAAATCTAGTACCTGAAAATCAACCCTCTGTAGCTGTGTAGGCAAGCACATACAACTCTTTGATATGTTTAATTTTCTTAGACAGTTGATAAAATTTAAAATTTTTTTCTTATAAATGTCTTTATTCTATTCCTCTCAGAGCTAGTCCTAGGAGGAAATTGCCCCCAAGGAAGTGAAAAGCTGCACATGAAGACAGAACATGGAAGATTTGGGGAAATGATCCTTGCCCATCTCTATCCCAGTCACCCTGCTCTGCCCCTTCACAGTGAATTACACCTTGCCACCAAGAGCTGGAGCCATTCCTGGGCCTTAGAAGCATCCTCACTCCATAGACGACTGACAAAGAGCTTGCAGAGGTGCTGGGTCAGGGATCACTTGCACAGCTGACTGACAGTCAGGAAGATCAAGTGAACCTGGAGTTCATGCTGACTTCTCCAAATTCTGAGACTGTCCTTCAGGGAAATCACTTTAAACTTGGGTGGGGGCCATACAAAATAACAGAGTGGTGCTTTTAAACTTTCATGAGCAGCTAATCTCAGGTATATATTGAGGAAGGGACTACTTGTAGTATTAATGTTTTCAGAGCTGGGTCCAGTTTACACAATTTTCATGTTGCCTTTTAAAATAATTTTTGTTGGTGAATGTATTGTACATAAAGTGGGTAGGGTGGGTGGGAATATGAAATGGAAGTCCTAACTGGTGGGCTCACAGCACTGGAGTGGTCTCTGTCTGTTTACAATCATGTCACACTCAATGCTTTGGGGCGCTGGAGAAGAGGGTAGGAAAGCCTTCAACTTGTCATATGTCAATAACTGTTTCCATGGTGGCTGACTGGCCCTTCACAACTGAAGACCTTCCTTCCAATCAACCTCAGAGAGTGTAGTTGTACCTGTCCTCCTTATTGTTTCTTTCTTTCTTAGTTTGGGGGCAGAGTGCTCTCCTGTGGCCCACCGGAAGCTTCAACCAAGATGACAGGCTCCTTTCACTCTGGTTGGCCCAAGTCTTGGCCTTGGGAAAATGGTGTCCCTTCCTGATTTGCCTCCAGCCCTACAAGATAGTTGCAAACCAGTATCAGGAATTGGGATCACTAGAGTGCTTTACTCATTAGAAGACAAATGAACATCTTCACAGGCTTGTCGGGCTGTGATCTAGAAGGCATTACACAAGCTTTCTGGCACAAATCACGTTTTGTGAAAGTGACTACTCAGGTTTGTAAATGTTAGTCTCAATAAAGAAATTGCACAGGTCTGAATAGAGAATATGTATTCTATAGTGTTACAGTTTGAATTTAGGAATATTTCAGTATATATAGTTTTTATTCCTTTTAAATGAACCATAGTAAAATCAGCCATTGTGATTTTAAATAGCTATCAAGGACAAGTTCTTGGAAATCATTTGTTGTTATCTGAGGTAGGAAACAATTTTACAGTATTAAATTACTTTTATTACAGTTTTAGGAGTTACACTGGATTTCTCGTGTTTAGCATTCTGTATTTTATGTTAGCTGAGATGTCACCAAAGTTAGGACCCATAAATATCCCATAAAGAAAAAAACTAAGAAAACACCCTGAAATTACAGGTCTTTGTAAAGAATAGCATAATTTAAGCATGCTTTGAGGATAATAGAAGAGTCTTCATAAAATATTAATCTGTCCTAGTTTCTTATGTATTCACTTGTGGGTGGAGTCAGTAGAGCCTTTCCCTTCAGTTTCAGCATCTTTGATAAAACTGTAGTATTTAGAGTTTGCTAAACAGTGTGCTCAGAGGGAAAGGAAACAGATTGGAAACATTCAGGTTAAAGAGACTGAACCGAAGACACCTAGTAGAATGGAAATTCATATCAGTAAGTGAACTAAGCTGGTGGTGTTGATTAGGGCTTAGGCAGAGTTGAGGGTGCGAGGGGAAAGAACACAGATGTCTCTGATATATGATGCAAAAAAACACCAACTTTAACAGATTTTCAGTTTAACTGTGGTATGTTTGCAAGTGGATTGATTGCATCATAAGGTTGAGTTCTAATTTGATCCTTATACTTATCAGAAATCTAGCACTAAGAAGAGTCAAGAAGTTAGAAGATATGTGGATGGGCTTCAATCTGTCCTTGAGCTTATGTAAGCTAACATGGTCAAAAAATTACGACTTCAGTTTCTGTGTTTGCAAAAGCAGGAAGGAGGATTATTAATTGGTGGGGGGCTGGTTAGGCCTGGTCTGGGCTCAGAGCATTCTGACTTCTCTTTAGGATTGTGGTCACTATAGGGCCTCTGCCACTGTGTTAAGCATGCTGCTTGAGGTGACCATCCTCCTCCTTCCCCCACTTCCAAATACCTGTTGCTAGAGAGATGCTGTGAACAGTGCGGGGGGGGGGGGTGTCTGTCTGTAGAAAAACCTTTTAATCTCCTTTCTTTTTTAGAGATGAGAGAATTTAAGGAAGGGCTATAGAAATTGAACTACTGTATTGAATTATAACACTGTGAACAAGAGCATCAGTGAAATGGTCAGCCTTGTTGCATCCTATGTGTAAATTGGTTGTACATTACAGGGCCAAGTGCTTCATCCCTTATCTGGTATGTTCCCAGCTTTTACAGGTTTCTGAAATGCAGATCTGCTGAAAGCTGCCCACAACTGCCAGACTGTGGGAAAACACATGACTGAGCTGCTGTGAACTCCTCATCAACTTACCCGCAAGCAGGATCTTTTGTTCTCGCCTTTCTTCCTCCTCTAGCACTTCACTTTCCAAGTGTCTTAAGCAGATGCAATGTCTTAAAACAGATGCAAATACATTTGCCATCTTTTCAAATAGGGAAATGATGGTTATATGATGTGTAATAGTTAGAAAGACATGTGTATGGGTGTCCTAAAAGGTTTACTCTAGGCTTGGACACTTCACCTTGTAGGCCACTGTCACCTTGTCAGTGTGACTACTCCCAGTGGTCTTCAGGAGAGCATATCTGAGACCTATGGATAATTAGAAATACCCTTGCTCCTGTTTAACCCTCATGACTTAACTTTATTAGGCTTGTTTTTAAGTTACAAACTGTTTCTCCAAGGCTTAAGATAAATAAAAGATCCAGAAAGAAAATTAGGGCCTTTGGAAGGTTTCTGGGTTGTGTATGATTTTGTTTTATTAAAGTTTGTGGAAAACCTTAAGGCCTTTAGTCTACATTCAGTCTGAGCTCAGCTTTAAATGTCAGTTTACTCTAGCCTTTCCCTTGAAAGTGCTTCTTGTGACTAACCATTTGGTATCATTATCCTGTGTTGTTTTTCTGACATGTTGTTATTACCATTTCTGCAAATAATATACTGCTTTTAAGACCTAATTTGAAATTTCACAGGAAGCCTCAATTTAGAGTCCGAAGGCAAGGATGATTTCGTGTCAGATTCCTGGCATGTTTCCAAGAAACTCGATTTTTCAAGAAATGCAAGCCATCTGGTTTGCTAGCATGATTTCCCCTTCTGTGTTTCTCTCTTAGTTCACCCCTTGGCCAGATTCTTCATGGACTCCCATTGTGGGACTCAGTTTCATGTATCAGTGTAGAGTTCAGTCTTGGATATTTCCAGGATATGATGTCTCAGCAGATAGTTCTTTGTTTGACAGATTCTGCCAGGATGTTAGAATTTGGGTTGTGCATGTGGGGGTGTTTGTTCCTTGGCTTGCATCACTACTTAGGAACCACAGATGTAATTGAGACTTGCTAGGTGAGAAGACTGGCTCCCCTTTCTTGTTTCAGTGGGTTGGACTCCACCATTCCGCCATAGGACTCTGAGCCTTACCTTTCTATCCCTTTGGGAAAGCTGAATTGGGGTGAACTTTGCTGCATCCCCTCTCTCTCAGTTAACTGTGACACAAGCTTTGTCTGCTGGCTGGATGTTGAATCCTCTCTGTGCTAGACACACATGGAGGGGCTTGGGTTGGACTTTTTACCTGGTCTCTTTCTCTTGTTCTCACTTAACTCTTAAGTAGAAATGCCTGATAACCAGCAATTGTTCTGCATGTGTTTTTGAAAGGGTTGGGTGGGTTGGGAACAGGGGTGTGGATATTGAGTAAGTTATTCGAATACTGACCTCTCATCAGTAGACTGTGGCCCCTTCTTTTCCCCAGCGGGGTCTTGGGTACCTCACTCACATGCCTGGGAGTCCCATCCAGGCTCCACCAGCCTGCTGTGCAGTGTCGAGCAGTCTTTGCTCCCGCTGTGAAAGCAAAAGCCGTGTGAACTTCCCTGGCCAGTACTGGAAAGGGGAATGCTATTTATTTTTATATTGTGTATATTTTGTCGTGGTCTGCTGATTGATTCCCTGTTTGACTGAGAGCGACATTTACCTCAATAGTTAGTTCAATATTGTGTGTTGGATAATTTTTTAAAGGAACTTTTTAAAAAGCTTTTTGATCCTTGGAGGTCTGTAGATTTATTTCCATATGAACTGGTTATTTTGTATAAAGTACATTCTTAAAATAGCAAAGCTCTGGTGTGTGTGTCCATGTGTCACTTTTATCATCAGGACAAATTCAGATTCCTATCATGACAGAGGTTTGAATCGGGCCACAATGCCATCACTCCACAGTGCTGTCCTATGTCTCAATTCTGATTCGTTAAGAATCCAAGAACAGATTGGGTGTGGGAGTGGGCCCACTGTAGATGATAGCGGTGCATTCTCTGCACAGAGCTTCAACGCCATAGTAAAACCACCTGAAAATTTCCAAACCACCTCAGGAACAAAAATGCTCATTGGAGCTGGTTCTATAAACATCCACTAGGTGCTTTCACACACCACCCTCACATCACCCTCTCCTTACAGAATTAGGGGTGAAGGAAGGGAGCAACAGATTTGACTTGATAATGGGGAGCCAATGAGCAGCTCTAGCCTGAAGCCCTCAGGGAACTATAAGTGGGAGCTACCAGCATGAGTAAGCAGATGCTTTTATATTTGCCCAGTTTGTTTTATTTTTCCAGTTTATGGGAGGCTTTCTGCTGGGAGGCAGGTGCAGAGAAAGGAAGTAACCATATTTTCTAATTAAGGGGTTGCATCTCACATAATTTTTGAAACAAAATTTCAGCCTTGAAGTCATTAGGAAGTCCCACATCTGACACATGATGTTGATCAATTTCTTTAATCTCACTTGATATTCTTAATGTTTCTCTCTGCGTTGGAAGAGCAGGGCAAGTGGAACTTTTGCTCTGGCCTGGCTCTGTTCACTTCCATGCCACTTAAGAGTCCAGCCCAGCTCATCACTGGCTGAGACGCCCTGAACACCTCTATTCCCTCTGCACATTAGTGTTACACCCTTAAAACACATGTAAACTTTGCTTTCCTACTTTTGTATTCTCTAGTGGAATTCCTCCTGCCATGACATAAATTCCTCCAAAGAAAGCCAGAAATTGTTGACAGATTTAGCTAATGATAAGCTTTAATACCATATCTTTCATTAGTCAACTAGGTTTCAAAATTTTAATATAGTAGGTGGAGATGATCTTCCTCAGTTTTTGGAATTGTTACTATTTGACATTAACATTTGTTAAGCTCCATGGGTAACATTTTGCACAAAGATTACCCTACACCATGAGTGGCCTTCTTAATATTGGAACATAAAAAGAAAGCCAGTGTGGTGAGATTTGGGGAAGAACAGAAGCTGTAATTGCTCATGGTGTTTTGGTCTCAAAATTCTGGTCAGCTTTCCATTTCAACATTTGGAGACATCTAAAAGTGCTTCTTAGTAAAGACTAGTGTCTAAACAAATTCCTGTTATTAGGAGGAAAGACATCTTAATTTTATCAATAAGCAGCCCCTATCCAGGCAATCTACATTATCTAGGAGTACTACTGAGTTGACAAAATAACCCAGGCAGGCTCTTTTAGAGGCTGCCCTTGGTCCTGGAATACTCTGAGGTGAGTGGCCTGTGGCATGAAGTTGTTATGCAAGAGATGCCTTTGGCAGGAAGGCAGCTGGCCCTTTTCTCCCAGGCGGTTGGATTCTCTCCAGCCCTGCTGTAGAGATGACAGAGCTGTAAGCATCTATGCTGCTACCGCCTGTTCTCAGGACAGCTTTCACAGACCTCAACCCCCACACCCTCTGCATAGCTTGGCACTGCGGGTCTGTTTGCCTGGCCCCACAGTTTCCCCTTGGATTTTCAAAAGGACAACATTTGTGCATTTGTTGTAGCCCCTTTTCTGCTAGCAAGGCTCCTCTGGTTTCCTTAGTCAATTTTAGAAAAAAACCTTCAGTGCAAAACAGACTGAGAAATACTTGCCAAGAAGGCAGCTGGAAAATCCCTAGGTTTGTCTATTGTGTTGCTAGAACCCTACCCCCTTCTGCCTCCATGACATGCATATTAATTCAGGTGCTCTGGAGATTCAGATTTGGAAAACCACAACTTGCTCCTAGAATCTTGGACTTAAACCTCGTTCTGCACAGCATATGACAAGGATGAGTTGCCCTATTCTATCCAGTTAAAGTTGGGCAGAAGTTTTAAAAAGCAATGGAGCCAGTTCCTTGGATTGTATCCAGGGTTTTAGCTTTGGGAAGGAATTGACTCTTTAGTAGGAAGGCAAAGACAAGTTCCAAGTGAAGCCTGGCCTGGGAGTATCCCAAGAACTAAGATGAAGATTGACTAACTTAACAATCAAGTTTTCAGTAAGTACTACTCTTTCTGAAACAGTACATGTAGGGATTAGTTGTAGGATCGATCCCCTAATCTGTTAGTGTTCCAAGTCCCTTGTAGAAAATGATGTTGTATTTGCATATAACCTATTCACATTTCCTAGTACTTCAGATCATTTCTACGTTACTAACAATAACACAACATAAATGCTTTATAAATAGTTGTTACTCTTTGTTATTTGGGAACTAATGACAAGGAAAAATCTGAACATGATCGGTACAAGTGCAGTTTTTAAAAAACATTTTGGTCATAGTTTGTTTAATGTACAGGTATAGGACCCATGCATACAGAGTGCGGGCTATTAAAAAGTAAATATACACCAAGTGTCTGGCACATTGCCTGTCTGCTGCTAATACAAAGGGGGAAAAGATAGGTTCCTTCACTCTATTATTTTTCTGTATTATAATTGAAAAAAATACAGGATACAGAAAGTCTGGATAACAGTAAGGTGCTGGAAGGAGTACATTGCTTAGCTAAAATAGTAGATCAAGGAACAATGTCTTTGTTCACTTCGTGCTATTGTAGCAGGAAGGCCAAGTGTTGGTGGTCTCAGACCATTTAATTTGGGCAGACCTCCAGACCAGACTTGAGGAGCCAGGCTCTCAGCTGTGTGGGGACTGTATCTATATAGCTTATTCCAAGCAGCATTCTCATTCCTCATTCTTGCCCCTCACAAGGTGAGCCTAAAGTGACAATGACATAATTCAGAACATTGAACCATCAGTAATTCTGATACTTTGTGCAATTCTGAAGAAACATTTGCCGGAGACGTGGCAAAGGTGTACAGAACTGGAACTTGGGAGAAGTGGTGATCACCTCAACTCCATTAGCTTCTTGTGGTCACATTACTGATCAAAATGTAGTCCTGGACCTGCAACATCGACTTACTTAGGAACTTGGAAACGAGAGTTGTGGCATCACTTAGATCTGCTTAATCAGACTGATGAGGAAGGGGCTCAGCTACCTGTTGTCACACACAGTTAGAAATGCACACAGAGAGCACAGACCTGTGGGAATGCCTGACACATGCATTTTAGACCTCAAGCACACCTCCTCTGACCTGAATATATCATTCAAACCTGACAGATGGCACAGCCAGCCACCTTCTGATTAAAATAGGAAATTCACTCCACAGTCTTCTGGTGAACATGAAATAAAGGTAATGGTTATCCCTCTATTACACACATAGGGAAGGAATGTAGGAGAAGGACTGCAAAGTTGAGGAATTCCCTTGTTGTCTGCCCCGCCCTAGCCCTACCTGGCATGCTGATCTGACCTCTGGGATATCCCTTTCTGCCCATCAAATATCACTCCTAGTTGTGCTTTCTCTGTCCCCTTTTCTGCACTGCCAGGGGCTTTGGGGGATCTAAAGCTAACAGACCAGCCCTATCCTAGAATAAGTGCATATTGCAGTCTTGTGCTATTTGACAGTCTTCTTTGCTTGCTGTGGGAACTCCTGCTATTGCAATTTATTCAACAAACTTAATAACTTTGCCACACTTACCAATGATTGCCAGTTTAGGTTGTCTCATTAAGGGTTATCAGATGCCCTAACTCAACATACTAGGGTTATATTGATCTGGGTGCAGCTTGGGCTTCAGGATTTTTTTAAAGTTCCCCCAGGTCATTTTATTGTGCAGTCAAACATATAAACCACTGTGCAGAATAGTGACTCAAAACTTGTGTCATCAGGATCTTACTTGATTTCACCATGTCTGGGGACTGGCTTCAGATGAGCTTCTCTAACAAACTCCTAAACCCTGCTGGTTCACTTAGCAGGAAGGCCACACTCCATCCTTGCTAAAGAGGGAAGGCTGTGTGTGTGTGTGTGTGTGTGTGTGTGCGTGCGCACGCACACTTGCTTCTCCAAATCTCTTCTTTCTCCTAATAACATGTCCCTAACCAACATTTAGGCTCAATTATGCTTTGGATTCTAGACTCATTTTCCTTGGATTCTTCCTTCAGTATAAGTGATAGTCTTATTTCCTCCATTTAAATGTTTCTTTCTCTACCTTCATCCAATCTCCCTCTTAAAAAAAAAGTCTTTTCCCTCCTACTGCCATCTCCTGTGGTTTGACTCCCTACTACCTTTCTAGAGCTAGTGTCTTGCTTACAGACAGCCTCAATCAGATTTATTCTCAGCCCTCAGATCCTCTCTGTTGCACCTAGCAGTTGGGGCTACTTTCTTTGGAGACTGATCTTTCAGATGCTGTGCTGCTGCGACCTCCCAGATCTCTCACTTGTTCTTTTTCTTCCTAAAAGTAGGCATATCCTTAGAATCATCTTCTCCACCCCCAGCCCCTTCTTTCTTTTTGTGGAAGTGGGGATTGAACCCAGGGGTACTTTACCACAAGGTGCATAGCCAGCCATTTGAAAATTTTATTTGAGACAGGGTCTCGCTAAGTTGCCCAGGCTGGCCTCAAACTTGCAATCCTCCTGTCTCCCCTCCCAAGTAGCTTTGGCTACTGGAGTACCTGGGAGTACAGTAGTGCCACTACAGCCAGCTTAGATCTATCCTTTTCTTCCTATGGCTTCTCTCTTGGCATGATTTTATTCTGTGGAGATTCAAATTCCTGTGCTTAATTTAAACTTCTTTGCCATCTTTCAGTTATCCTTTCCAAATTCTAAATTTTGATATTCCACTTACATGTTCTACCATTGTTTATGATGGGGTTTGTTTCTTTGACCATTTTAAGTGAACATTTCAAGGTACATTTGTCTTGTGCAACTATCACTACCATACATAACTTTTTAATCTACAGCTGAAAATGAAATACTAACCTCTCATTCTCCTCTCCCCCTA